TTATTTTTATTCGTTTCTATCTCGTCAAATTCTTTTTTGTTTGAATTTCTTTTTTTTTTTTTTTCATAATAGATATATATACAATTTATTTCTTTGGTCTTATAAATCTCATCGTGGTTTTTCGTTTTCTCGATCACCTTTAATCAAATCACTCAAGTTATTCTCGACCCTACATAAATATACGAGTTCTTTTCGTTCACGACGCCTGCGCGCGAGCTTGCATATTCATTTAATTAAATATATATTATATTATATCCGTGTCTGTGGAGAGAGATTTTATATATATATATATATCAAATATTACTAATTGCATAAAATTTGCATTTTAAATTATTTATTATCGTACGAGCTTATATTAAAGTATAAAAAATAAAAGAAAAAGAGAAGGAAAGAAAAAAGATTAGAAGAAAAACAAATGAAATTACGTCTCGGGAAAATTTTCTCGTTAGATCATCTCTCTTCGATCGTTTATATTTTTTTCTTACGTCGTTAACGTCTAGTTGTTCTGCGCTCTGCATGTTTTATTTACTCGCTTGTAAGAATTTTTCTTTTTATTTAATCATCATTTGGATCGATATTTGCCCCGGGTCCTTCCCCGAAGGCACCGTGATTCTGTGCTATCGAATTATAATCAAAACAAATAATCTTTCGATTATTCTTCTTCTGATAACGATTCTTCTCTAATCAATATAATAATAAATTAGTAATTTGTCATTCACGTTTATATGATTCGATTATAAAATATATCGGAAATTTTGTTCGTCTTTTTCAAGAAGGTCCCGTGGAAAATAACGTTCCATAAAATTCCTTGATCGTTCTGTAACACGCGCATGATTGAATTTCTTTATTCTTTGTTTCTTTTCCTTCTTTTTTTTTTTTTTTTGGAATAATTAATAATTCACTTCGATATATTGTTTATAAAAAAGCAGCGCGCGCCTGGCTTGTTAAGAACGATTAGAACTTTAAAAGACGTACGCGATTAAAAAATAAGAAATAATAAATAAAGTAAAAGAAAAAAGACGTCTTATATAAAAATCTATATATATACATATACATATATATATATATATATTTTTTTTTTCTTTAATCGGAAAAAGAATCTCTCGTACTAATGTGAATTTTTTTTCATGTTCTTTTATAGGTAACAATATGAAAAAATGCCGTGCAAGGTATGGATTAGACCAACAGAGCCAATGGTGCAAACCATGCAGGTACGTTCAAACATACCTCATCTTTCATTCCTTGTCTCGTTTATTCTTAGTTCTATTTTTTTTTTTCATCTAAATTTTTTTTCTTATTCTTCTTTCTTTCATTCGTTCGTTCGTTCGTTCGTTCGTTATTTCAACGGGGGAGTGAACTAGCGAAAAGTATATTCTTATTTTTTTGTTTATAAAAAAAAAAAATAGCAAGCTTACATCAACGTACGCGAAGTTTGATTCGTTGTAAATAATTTTGGTTAAATTTTTAAAACTCTTATTCGTTTGCGAAAGTGTACCCAAGGCGGAGATGAAAATAAATGATTAGATTTCTTTGGTATAATAATAATATATATTAATAATAATAATAAAATAAATGATTATTATTCTTATTGTTTAAATTTCGATCGAGGAGTAATACTCCTCGTTATCGTATTATTCGTCTTTGGTACACAAAAAAAAGAAAAAAAAAGAATTACAATAAAAAATCTCATATTATTATTCTGTAACGAAGCAATTTCTTTTTAATATTATTATTACGCGCGGTTGTTAGCATATTCTCGGCGTATCTATGTATCTTTTTCTTATTCTTATCGTCTTGTACTCCGTTCCGTCATCCACATGTTATCGTGGAACTTGAAAGTAAAGGAAAAAGTAAAAAAAAAGAGAAAAAAAACAAGAAAAAAGAAGAAAAAATAGAGAAAAAAAGGAAATATAATAGTAAAAAAAAAAAAAGAAATAAAATTATTAAATCAGAAAGAAAAAGAAAAGAACAAAATCGAAAGGAATACAAAAAATCGAGTATTATAGTCACTTATCGTGGAAATCCACGCTCGTATCAACGAGTCGGTATGCACGGGCCCCGTAATCTTCTCTTTCTCGCGTCGTTTTTTACTATTGAATTCAATTTTAAATTAAATTATACATAGAACAAAATAACGAAAAAGAAAAAAGGGGTACGATAAAAATATGAAATATAAAAGAATAAAAATTCACACGAACAGGACGGAAAAATCGTGCAGGATCAAAAGCTGCGAATGGTCAGAAAATGTGTCTTCCAAAAGATTAACCAAAAAAAAAAGATTACAAAAAAAAAAGAACAAAAAAAAAAGAGAAATAATAAAAACAATAGTGAAAAAATATTTGGACAAATAATGAAAAAAAGGGAACGTAAAAAATAAAGTAAAAAAAACGAACGGAATTTCTCTCCGATATACATTTTTTATACATTTATATATACTGTATATATACTTATATATATATACATATATAAATGTGAATATGCAAAACACGTAAATCCCGGCGATCGATAGGGACGGCAAACAATATTCTACTGTACTTTGCTTGTAAATATCTCTTCTAGAACCACACTGTAGTTTCTATCGGTAATCACGAGCCATCACCACCCGTTTTAGCGCCACTAACCGCCGTAAACATACATATATATATATATATATATATACATACCTACCTATACATATATATATATATATATATATATATATACCGCTCTCTCTGCACCCGTGTAGTGCGCCCAAAAACGCCCCCCTACTCTCCCGGCTGGGCTTGTGAATTGTCCTGGACGTCATTAAAGGGGCGAAAACGAATCCCATCGGCGTTTAGTGCGATAGAATATTATTATTATTATAATTATTAATATTATTATTATTATTATTATTACTACTATAAGAGATAATTATTATAACAATATCAACTGATTAAAGTCCCGGTTTGTTTCTCCAATTATTTGTTAATTATTGATCATTGCTAATTCAAGGATTATCCAATTTCCGGCTCCGATTGAAAGTCTCTCTCTCTCTCTCTCTCTCTCTCTCTNTCTCTCTCTCTCTCTCTCTCTCTCTCTCTCTCTCTCTCTCTCTCTCTCTCTCTCTCTCTCTCTCTCTCTCTCTCTCTCTCTCGTTTTCTATATATAAAAGAAAAAAGATATAAGAAAAATACAGATAGAAATTTTTGGAAGTACAATAGTGGCAGCTTTGAGAATAATCATTTTGTACATGGGCACACATTTGGGAGACATATTTTCTGATTAGTACGAACGAAAACAAAAGAAAACAAGCCAGCAGTCAATCAATCAATCGCGTTCACCATATTCGGTACATACAAAAAAATATATTATTATTATTATTATTATTATTATTATTATATCACACACATTATTATTACTATTCTTTTTTTTTCTTATTAAATTATGATTATTATTTGTATTTTGTATCTCCGGACTCTCCTATCGTATATACCTACGTACATTTTTTTCTTTTGATATTATCCCCTCAACGAGTTTGTTCCAGCGAGAGGTCGGCAACGACGAATTAACAACCCTTCATGCCGGGATTCCTATAAGGTAGAGTTTTGATCACGTAACAAAGATGAGAAACAGGGATGATGATGATGCTCGTTGCCGGCCTCGCCGCGTGGCGAAAAATAACACACAAAATATAATTCAATAAATAAATAAATAAAAATATGGTTTTGCACAAATGATATATTAAAAAAAAAAAAAAAAAGGATAAATTTGAACGAAAATGAAATATGCAACGAAGGAAGAAGTTAAAAAATAAAAAAAAAAAAAGCAAAAAAGAAAAATGAAAGAGAAAAAAAAGGGAAAAAAAAGAAAAAATGAAAAAAAAAAAAAAAGAAAAAAAAAAGAAAGAAAACAGATGATGATACATTTTGTCGGGATTATGATGCGTGTGGGTGACGAGGATACGGTGTGTGTAAGCTTTAAGAGAGAAGGTGGGATTAAGTGACGATGTTCGATACGAGCGCCCCTTTAATGGCTGGTGGTTGGTTTTGGCAGCCCAGTGGAGCATGGAGCGGGGATGGGCATCCACGCGAGTATAATCCATCATGGTGTGGGAAGTAGCGCGGGGTCCGGGGTCGGGGCTGGAGGTGGTGGAGGGACGGTTGGGGCGACCACTGCCCCGCCAAACACCAACACTGCCTCCAATACCTCCTCACCTCAGCAAGAACCCACTTATGTTAATCTCTAGTCAAGCCTATCGCCTCCCTTCTACTGCAACACTTCTTCTTAAACAGTGGTCAGTCCCGACTTAAACCTAAGGGCTCGCTAATGCCCTCGCTAATGCCCTTTTATTGCTCGTTGTCTCATTCCGCGCCGTTTAAATCATTCTCTCGAATTTTTTTTTTCTTTTTCTATTTATTTACAACAACAAAATTCGAGCAGAGTAAATGAATGAAAATATGAGAGGGAGAGAATCGAATGAATATGCAAGGGTAGATTTGTGTGTGTGTGTGTGTGTGTGAGAGAGAGAGAGAGAGAGAGAGAAAAGATGACCGACCGAAGAAAAAAAATGATAAATGAAAAAAGAAATGCATATATAAATATAAAAATGTATGAAAAAGAAAGGAAAAATGATGAGCAACGAGCCTCTGTGGCATAGTGAGCGGCCAAGCGACGCCCTGATGCTCGCATTGTTTCTCATTGTTGTGGCTCTTTACAGCTTATTATTGTTATTATTTGTTATCGTTTAGTTGAACTTTTTAATCAGTGTTGCTCTTTAGCATGGATGGTCTGTAATACGTATATGCATATACATATATATATGTATAACAGGTTTTTCTTTTCGGTTTCGAAACGTTTTTTGGCATATATATATATATATATATATATATTTATTTATAATAATTATGTTTTATTATTTTCTATTACTGTTATTTTTATCATTTATTAATACATTATTATTATTATATACGTTATAGAGAGTTGTAAGTTTCGCATTTTTGGCATGGCAGTTTACTCGTACGATTACGACGATGTGTTTTACGGATATTTATATACATGTTTTTATTTTTAATTGTTTTTTTTAAGTATCTAATCGTTTATCTCTGACATAACATATATATACATATATATTACATCAAATTTATGTGTTTTATAATATATACGTATATTTATATATATGTATAATCTAGTGTGCGTAACAATTTTCTTTTTAAAGCAAGATTAGGGAATATATTTTCTAATAAATATATGTTGAAAGAGGCGGCTACACACACACGTCACGGGTTACTCGTGTATTTATAAAACAATTACCAAAAAAAAAGAATTCATTTTCTTGTTTCTTCCCGTTTTCTTGTTTTAATCTCCTAATAATTATGTTTCGTTGTTGTGATTTTTAATTTTCTAAAAAAGAAAAAGAATTAAAAAAAAAAAAACAATTCGTGCACGCGCGTGCCGCCTATAATTTATTTTTATAATAATTCTCTACGTATATCAATTAGCACCTTGCTTTTATCTCAATTCCACATTAAAAAAAAAAAAGAAAAACAGAACGAGTGATTTTTCGACGTGCCTACTACTACGCTCCCCCCGCGAACGTAGTAATTTTTGGCGAAGAGGTATTAGTTTTTTGGTTATTTTTTGAAAAAAAAAAAAAAAAAAAAAAAAAAAAAAAAATTTTTTTTTTTCGTTTTTTTCAACGACCGATTGTTGGCGACGGTCGAGAGCGGAAATTATGTCGAATCGAAAAAAAAGAAACAAACTTCGAATTGTCATTAACTCAGCTGAGAGATGAAAAATAATGAGAGCCAATGGCAGAGCGGTGAACGTCTCGACTGCGAAGCCCTGCGTGTTGGCTTCATTTTATTCCAAAATTTATTGCAGTAGTAAAGCTCCGATGCGCCTATTCTCTTCCTTTATTTTCTTTTTTTTTCTTTTTGTTTTTCTTTCTTTCTTTCTTTTTATTCGTTTGCCATTTTATTATACGTCGACCGACGAGCAGCGTGTCAAAATCAATAGAAAACAACGTTATCTAAATTTCATTTTTTTCTCCGGCCTGTCTCTATTTTATTATTTATCTATCCATCTATTATCTATATCTGTCTATCAGATTTTTTTCTTCTTTTCACTATTTTTTTTCCCCTTTTTGATCTCTCGTTAAATCAATCCCCGCCCCCTCCTTCTCCTCCCGAACGCACGTCGTGAAAATACGAGAGAAAATTCGCGCGTGAGAACGATCGAAACGTTCCACGACATTTTAAACCCCTCCCCCCGCTTTCAAATGCACGCAATTTTTTCTTGTTTTTTTATTTTTTTGTTTCAATTCATGACCATAGAAATTATTCGGATAGATTGGAACGAATCAAAGAAACGTCAATCAAAAAATCGCGTGCATCGGTGGGGGAACCTCTCGTCGATTAGAAATTTCCAAGTTCCACGTAACATACTCCAAACAAAAAAAAGAAAATTAAACAAAAATATACAAAGAACAACAGCAGGCAAAAAAAAATCACCGAACAAATTTGCGTTTCTTGATCGAGCGACGAGAGCCGCTTCGACGAAATTGGTCGTCGAATTTTTGTTTTCTTTCCCTTATTGCTGTTATCGTTGTTAATATTATTTTATTATGATTGTTGGTTGTTATATTGCTATTAATGATTAATGATAATGTTAATGATGAATATGACATGATGATGTTGATGATGATGATGATTTTTGTTCCACCTTGTTTTTCTTTTTGTTTTCTCATTAAAAAATTTCTTTTTCTTTACCCCACGTAATTACGTGTATATATTACATACATGTATACGTTATATACCCACTTGTTGACACACGTTATGCTTGCTAAGTCTTAACTTTTTGAAGCATGGCATTTGCTACGAGTGAATCGTATCGAGCAGAGTAAATAAACGCGACGTTTGCGCGAGCGCAGGACATCCGGTTTATTCTAACGACGATATACCTTCCTTCCTTTCTTCCTTCTTTCCTTTCTTCCTTCCTTCCTTCCTTCCTTCCTTCCTTCGTAGAAACAAAGAAAGAAAAAAACGTGCTCTCTAATCAAGCATGCAAAAAAAAAGTATACACGAAAGGATTCTTGCGCTCGTGTCGTTGCAACGAACTACGAGTGATCGCATGTTAATTATAGTTGGTAATTATTACTAGATATATATAAATCTTTGATATCGACTTTGTACCTTTTTCCCCTTCTCATCGTCGACAATTATTATGCATATACACATTTTTCTTTTCGAAAGAGTTCAATTTATTTGTATATTTTCAAAAATAAATACGCGACTATAATGAGAATCGAAAATGGTACAACGTCGCAAAGATGTGGAAAATAAAAAAAAAAAAAAAAAAWAAWAAAAARAAARAAAWAAAAAGACAGACCGAATCAATTTTTGCAATACAAGTGAAAAAAAAGAAAAAAAAAAGAGAGAGAGATAGAAATGGGGGAGATAGAAACGAAAAAATAGTAATTAATTAGACTAATCCGATCACCCTTATTTCCAGACGTAAGAAGAAATGTGTCAGGTACATGGGGGAGGGAGGAGAAGGCGACGGCGAGGCCGACGGCGAAGGTGAGGACGATCATTCGGAGGATAATTTAGGGAGCGTGGGGGAGGCAGGTACACCCGAGGAAGACGAATCCTTGAGCAGTCCTGGGGGTTTGTCAGCATTGTCGAGTTTGGCCAGTCCATCGTTGGTGTTACCATCGCCATCGAGTCTAGCCAGCCCGTGTCCGTGCCCTTTGACACCTCCAGTGCCTCCTCCGCCATTACCGAACCCGAGTAGCCAACAGCAACAACAGCAACAACAGCAACAACAACAACAACAACAACAACAACAACAACAACAACAACAACAACAGCAGCAGCAGCAGCAACAGCAGCAAAAACAGCAGCATCAGCAGCAACAACAACAGCAGCATCAGCAGCAGCAGCAACAGGTTCAAGTACAGGGCCAACAGCAGCAGCAGCAACAGCAGCAGCAGCCGCATCGTAATCCAGTTGGTACGAATCCTCACGACATCAACAATCCGTTAAGTGTAAATCAACTTACCGGTCAGTGTATAAAAAGTGAAGTTGTACCAACCCCACCCTCGGGTCCCTCCAATCCAGCGATCAGCGTTACGTAGCCCCGGGTGGACCCACGTGACAAGACTGTTGCAACACACGGTGTCATCCAAGGGGTCCATCTACGTATCTACTGTGCGCGACAGAGAGGCTGGACGATGACGATGACGATGACGATGACTATGACGGTTCATTTGGAGAGACTTATTAGTTCGATCGATAATCTAACCACGTTATTGGACAAAATGGTTAAATGTTCGTTCGTTACTACTCCTACGACGACTACTCTTCCCTCTCGTAGATCGACGACGTTCATCGTGGAAAAACGTGGACGAATCGACGAGAAACGATTGGAAAGGAAAAGAAGAAGAAAAGAGAAACTACGAAGAGTAAAAAGAAAGAGAAGAAGAAGAAGAAGAGGAAGAAGAAGAAGAAGAAGAAGAAGACAAGGAACGAGGAAGAGTATCTCAACAATTGTCGTCCTCGTCGTCGTCGACGCCATAGCGAAGAAGAATTTCATTCTCCTTCGAATTCGGTTCTTCGCCATTTTTTATTATCGTCGTCTCTTGTGTTGTTTCTAGCGAAATATACAAAAAAAAAAAATTATTAAATAATAATACTAAATAAAATAAATAAAATAAATAAAATAAAATAAAATAAAATAAAATAAAATAAAATAAATAAATAAAAAACATGATGAGAGAAAATACGGGACGGACGAAATTGTAGTATCTCCGAGAGTTTTTGATCGAGGAAAAAGCAACGTCGTCGTTTAAACGAACGTTCTTCTCGTAAAAACACGCGCGCGTATAGGAACGTATATATATATATATATATATATAAATCTATATATACACACTTATATAATATGCACGATATGTGGGACGAATGGGAGTACTACTTCCAAGGAGAGAGATTCTCGTTCGGTGGATTAAAATTGTCCAAAAAAATATGTGCCAGCAACTAACTAAATAGTGTATCATCTCTGTGTGGTCTGTGCGTTTGTTTTTTTGCGTACGTTTTCTTCGCCGAAAACAACAACAACCAACAACAACAACAAAAAAAGAAAAGAAATGAAAAGAAAAAGAGAAAAATTATCGCGAGAAGAAAAGCCAGAGAAAAGGAAAGAAGAGGGCGCGAACCGGACACCCCCGTCATCGTGTTGTATCTCGCGTTTCGAACGATTCTACGTACATAATACATGTATCTAATTACAATTGTGTATTAGTCGTCCCTCTCTCCTCCTCTCGACTGTCTTCTTCATTTACCGTGCCAAAGCGCTTCTCGGCTCTACAGGATTTGATGATTATGCGTGCGATGACCGAGAGCGAACGATGATCCTATCGATCATCAAAAAACAAAAGGGAGACAAGCATCATATGCTGCTCTGAAATCTAATCGTTACTTATCTTTTCATATTATTCTTCTACTTCCTCGTCATCATCATCATCACCACCACCACGACCATCACCATCACAATCACCACCACCGTCATCAACATTATCAGCATCGTTTTTAGTTTTACGTTAGTCATTTGTTTGTTGTTCCCCCATTATTAGTCCTCTTCCTCTTCCTCCTCCTCCAACAAGGCTCCAGACGGTCAAAACACAGAAGCATCACGAACGAAAGGATTATTTTCATTTTGTTGTATATATATATCGTCTTCGATAATTTCTCGATCTTCAAACATCGAGCTAAAGAAAATTGTACGATAGATTAAGAATGATGAGTGCGAGAGAAAATAATTAATGCGTGTACTATCTCAAAGTGTATCTGGGGTGGTTTATTATTATTACAAACGCGTGCGACAAAGATGAACGAAAGCGGACAAAACTTTTCCTTTTTTATTTTTTTTATTTAACGAAGAAAAAGTATGCTGTAGAGAAGTACTCAGGACCAAGCACGTATCATAGAAAATGAATAATGAAAATTAAAAAGAAAAAAGAAAAAAAATGAGAGAGAGAGAGAGAGAGAGAGAGAGAACGAGAACGAGAATGAGCGCCGACGAGGGAAAACTGCAGCTCGTAGTCCTTGTTACGTTGTGATGTCAATGACTGACAAAGTCATGTTCCTGTGCCAGCTACTATATTCTATTAAAATAATTAATTAATCGTGAACAGCTGAAAATGAGAAGAGAGGGAAAGGGAGAGAGAGAGAGAGAGAGAGAGAGAAACAGAGAGAAGAATGAAAGAATGAAAAAGAGAGGTCGAAGCAAATCTCTCTCTCTTAGACGATTTTATTATTAATTCGTTCATTCGAAACAACACAACTATGTCAAAATAATCTACAACCCCCCCCTCTGTATGTAATTTGTTATTTCTTTAAAAGTCTATAATATCACGCAACACGATAAATTATTAGCTTATAACATTTTGTATTGTTCTTTTATTTTCTTTATTTGTTTCTCTTCTAATTTTATTTTTGCTTTTTTTTTTTTTTTTACAGAAGAAACTAAAAAACATCGTTAGATTCTTTCCGTACACTCCGCTAGACACATCTGGTAATTCTGATTATTCCATCTTTCACGAAAGTTTCCGTCTCTTTTTGTTCGCGATCATCGTCCAACAACGTTCATTGAAAATATTATCCCATAAATCAAATTCGCGTACTCTCAACTAACGATGATACTATATTTATCAGAAAAAAAGAATGATTTAAAAAAGGATAATTATTTGTTCGATTGGTGGTCTCTTCTCTTTTTTCTATTCATTTTTATTTTTCAATTTTTTTGTCTCGTTTTCCTTATTTTTTATTATTATTATTATTATTATAAATATTATTAGACTATTATTATTATTATTACTATAACTATATATGTATATACGTGTATATATATAGTATACGTAATAAGAGAAAAGAAAAAGGAAAAAACGCGTCGAAAGAAAAGCCACACACGCCACATGGATCTCCATTGCATAATAATATTTAAACGAACTATGTAGGACAAATCTCAGGTAAAATCACGTATCCGATTTTTGGAGCAGCGGTGCTTTTTACGCGTGGGCGATACTAGTTTTTTTTTTCTTTTTATTTGTTCGTCGTGTCGTCTTCCTTCAATTATTTCCAGAAAATAAACTAACTAATAAACATCATTTTACGATATCGAATTTGGCAAGACGAAGATCAAACGATTGTCCGATTATCTATTTATCGATTGGGGACAATTAAATGCGACGAAAGAACTTTATCAACTTGCGTTGAAAGTGCAATCACAAGAGCTTCCAAAAATACAAAATAAAAAAAAAAAGAAGAAAAAACAACTCTCTCTGACCGAGACGCGCGCGCGATCATTTTCAACTCGACATTTTTATTTTATTTTATCCTTTTGTTTTATTTTGTCCTTTTGTTAATCTTTCTTTTCTGTAAATGCAAATTCTTTTGATTATAATTGTACAATTTTTTTTTTTAAAACGAAGCCTTTTTTTCCTATTAAATACTTATAATTCTTCATTATCCTTCTTATACTTTCACTCATTCTCCAATTCTTTTTCCATTTTTCCTATCCTATGCTTTTTTCTTATTTTTCTTTTCTTTTGGTTTTAAATGAAATTCATCATCTTTCGTATTGTTTTGTATTCAAGTAATTTGTGGAAATGTGCATGCGCATTTATGTGTCAGAGAAAATATAAATATATTATTTACCGTCATTTACGAAAGAGCGAAGTTCATTTATTATTATTA